GGGGAGCCGCCGGGGCTGGCGCCCTGGGCCGCTCGGCCGCCGCTGCCCCTGGCGCCCAGCATGTCGGTGCACTACACCCTGAATCTGCGTGTTTTCTGGCCCCTGGTGACTGGCCTGTGCACCGCTCTCGTGTGCCTCTACCACGTCTTGCGGGGAAACGGGGGCGTCCCGGCCGAGCCCCCCGACGGCGCAGACGGTGGTTTCCCACTGCTCAAGGCGGCAGTCCTGCTGCTCCTCGGCTATGTCCTCCTGCGCTGCCGCCACGCTGTCCGCCAGCGCTTCCTGCCCCGGCCCCCCCGCCTGGGGGGCCACCCCGCCTTGTCCCCAAGGCCTTTCGGAGAACCTGGCCTTGGCATCTTGCTGGAGAGTTACTACGAGCACGAAGTGCGCTTGTCACCGCACGTGTTGGGCCACAGCAAGGCGCACGTAAGTCGGATCGTGGGCGAACTGGTGCGGGCTGGCCGTGCCCGGACGTCCCCAGGCCCCATCCCAGGGGGGGCTCTGGCCTTGGCCTTCCGCGGAGACTTCATCCAAGTGGGCAGCGCCTACGAGCAGCACAAAATCCGCCGGCCCGACAGCTTTGACGTGCTGGTGCCGCTGCGCCTTCCGCCGCTGGTGGCGCTGGAGCCGCGGAGCCTGGGCGCCGAGCCCGCGCTGGCCCCGGCTTTCCGCGGCTGCTTCTTGTGCGCCATCAAGGCGCCGCCTGTGCCATCAGGGGCCCCTTCGGGCCACTGGCTCCGGGACTGCAAACCCTTCGCCGACGGCTTCTGCGTGGACGTGCGCGGGCGGCGCCACCTCTCTGCCACACTGGTGCTACGCTGGTTTCAGTCGCACCTACAGCGCTCTCTGGCCACTGTGCGCTACAGCCTGGAGGGGCGCTGTCGGGTCAGCCTGACCCCGGGCGGCCTAGAGCAGCCGCCCACACTGCACATCCTGCCCTGCCGCACCGACTACGGCTGCTGCCGCCTTTCCATGGCAGTGCGTCTCATCCCTGCTGTCCATCTGGGTGACGGCGTGTTCCTCGTGGCGCCACTGCTGCCACCCTCGCCCGCAGGGCCCTTGTCAGAGCTCCCGGGAGGCCTGCGCCCCGAGGCGCTGTGGGGCGTGAACACAGCGCGCCAGGAGCAGAAGCTGCTGAGCTGGCTGCAGGAACGGGCCCCTCCAGGTGCCTGCTACCTCAAGTGCCTGCAGTTGCTAAAGGCCCTTCGAGACCTGGGTGCCCGCGGGCTGGACCCAATGGCTGCCACCCATTGGGGGCGCATCCTGTCCTCGTACGTGCTCAAGACCGCGCTGCTGGCAGTGCTGTTACGCGAGGGGGTCCCTGCGCAGGTCTGGGATGAGGTGCACCTGGGAGAACGCTTGGAGGAGGTGGTGCAGTTTCTTAGGGACTGCCTGCTGCAACGCCGCGCACTCTTCCACTGCGTCCTGGGTCCTGGCGGGGCGGCCGCAGAGGTGGGCCCCCTGCCCAAGGTGCTGCGTGAAGCTGCCCCAGTAGACGTCCTGGCGGCTTTCGACCAGCGCCCCCGGGAACTCGCAGCTGCGCGGCTGCTGTCCACGTGGCGAAGGCTGCCCCAGCTTCTCCGGGCCTACGGGGGTCCCCGCTACCTTGCCAGGTGCCCGCCACCCCGGAGTCAGCGCACCCAGGGATCCCCTGAGGATGAACCGTAAACCGTGACAGCACCCCCACCTGGCCAAATGCTGCTAAAGCCTCTGCTGCGGTGTGGGGTTGGGGAGGGCAGTTAAGCCTTAACCCGAGGAAGATGAGCTGCAGACGGTGCTGGGAAATTTGGAGGATGCCACAAGCTTTGGTGGCTTAAATGTCACCCCTTGGCTCCACAGTCTAGTATAGTTACGGCACCTTCTTCACACCCACTTGGATGTCCTGGGAAAGCTATGGAAAGACACCAAACTGCAGCAGCTAAGAATTGGTCCAAATGTTGTGCTGTGTGGAATGATTATGTAGAAGAGCCTGGCTTTTAGGGGAAGTCAGGTAGAGGAAGCAAGAACTAGCTGCAGGGGAAAGTTCCCTCTGCAGGTTCTAGAGACAGCTCTCGCCCCGAAATTTAAAAGCAGCTAATGTTTTTGACATAGCTACTTGCTAGGTACTTGGTTCCCCCTTGTCTTAAAAAAAAAAAAAAAAAAAAAAATCCGAATCATAATTCACAAATGGAATTGAAATTCTCTTCCAGGGGCTGATGTTCTGAGAACTTAGTTTCCACTATTCAAATTAATATTAATGTATTTTGCAAGCAGTGCAATCATGAGTGACAGGGTTGTGAAGAATTAAGTCACATGTGTTGAGAGACACTCATGAGTTGGTTAGAGAAACTTCCAGACAAATCGCACTTTATTTTGATGAATTCCTTCTTTCTGTGGTGAGTGCTAGTGCCAAGCATCGCATCTGAAAGGGAGACTGATTACATTCATAATTAAGAAATGGGCAGCCTTGAAAAGTAGCCAGCAGGCTTGCTTAACATCCCGCCAGGGCACAAGCCAGGAATATGTACCAGTCAGTCATCCCTGTCTGTTGAGTGTCTGCTGGGAGCCAGGCAAGTGCAAAGTGGCAACAAAATACATGTATCAGACAGCACTGGTGAGGGCTTAAAACATGTTGAGTCTGGAGGAAGATGTATTTCACATCTTTGCCTTCATGGTGTCTCACCAGGGCTTGCTGCTGGCTGGAATTGGAAACTGTTTTGCATGGAGATTTCTTTCTGGTTTAGTGAGATAATGAGGAGATGTCTGTTGCAGTGCCTAGCATATAGTTAGTGCTCTCAGTCAGTGTTCAGTGATGGCTCTTGGTTCGAATTTTCCTTCTGGCATTGCCTGGGCAGCCTTAGGTGAACTTGGCAAACTTTGAAGAGCTGTTGGTTCTGCGCAAGCCTGGCAAAGCATTTCGTTTATAGTTTAGAATCTTGGGCTCTATGTTTGAAGGGCAGAGGAGAAATACAGTCAGGAAGACAGGCCTTGAGAGCATCTACTCTTTCTTCTTTTTGGACATAAATATCATCAGGCTGGGTATATTTTGCAGCCAGCAGGAGCCCATTCTGAAATCTCTCCTGTCCCTCCTAATTTCTAATAGCCCTCAATTTTCATCAGTCAACTTAAAAGTCAGTTTCAGTTTAGAATGGTCCATCATCCCGTTAAGAGCCTGGGTGGCTGCCAACCTAAAGATTGGCGGTTTGAGCCCACCTAGCGGCACCATGGAAGAAAGGCCTGGCGAACTGCTACCATAAAGATTACAGCCAAGAAAACCCTACAGAGCAGTTCTACTCTGTAACACATGGAGTCATCATGAGTCAGAACTGACTCAAGGGCAACGGGTTTGGTTTTATCATCCCCTTGCTTGACTGGAAAAGCAGGTAGCCCCAGTGTTATACTTCGGGATGTTTTTTACAAGGCACGTACTTCCTTAGACTCTTAAAGGTAAAACTTGGAAGGCAGAAGTAGCTGTTGAGTGGGGCCATTGTTTAATTTCTGAGCTATTTTGAGGGAACTCTTATTTAGGTGACCCACTTGGGCACTGCAGGGAATCTTTGTGAGTAAATGATTTACAGGGAATTCTTCTCACCAGAGCTGCATAGATTTCTTATATCCTTTGAAGCCTTGGACTCTAAGAGAAATAGCAGCAAATATTGTGCTATTTCTTTGAGGCTATTGTGGGGACGGTTGCCCTTGATACCACAAAGGTCATTCCTAGCTTTTGACGTTGTTATGTTCTAAGGTACTGCATTTAGTGAATGGATCAGTCTACCAATTTCCTGCAAAGATATCAACTGCACAGTTTTCTTTAAATTACTTTTTAAAATAAATGCCAAGAGTAGATCCTATATGTATATATGAAAAAGAATTTCTATACCCAGCTGCAGTTTTCCCCATAGTCTTTAAGTCTCCTGGAGCTGGGGGACAGCCAGTCTCTCAGAGGGATTATCAAGCTTTAAAAGCTGAATTTTCCAAATATTTTTAGCTGAGTTGATGGATTTCTTTTTTATCTTGATAGTATTTTGAAGCATATTTCTAGTAAGATACTGTTCTTGTAGCTTTTGTTCAGGTTAATTTCCCAAACCTCATCCATCCTCAAGGTTTTGAAATTTTTTTATTATTTTTTAAATTAATGGGGCATTGTATTTGTGAATTTTTAAGATATTAATGTTTTATTTAAATGCCATGCTGAGCAATTGTTCTGTGCACAAGGTGACCAAAACGTAGGCATTTAGATCAATTTTGATCAATGTTTAGTCATCCAAAACATGTACTGTTTACAAATGAGATAATATGGCGTATTTGCCAGGTGTGACGGTTGCCCAAGGCACTTAAATTAAGCTCAATTCTGTATTTTATTAGGGCTCTGTCACCCTTCATTTAAAATGTGCACATTTTTGGTGTATGCCTGGTACTGGAAACTCATATATGCAAATATTCTCAGACAGGAAGGCTCAAAATTGCCCATGTAAAAAAAAAAAAAAAAAGATTAATCGTGTAGCCAGCGCCCAGAGAAAATGTTTTGGGGAAGATGAATCAGCCATTTTGCCCCAAGACACCCTTCGGTAACTCCCACTGGCCAGTCTTGGGAGCTATTCTGGAATGCCTGTGGGCTGGGACAAGTTTTTTTTGGGGGGGGAAATGAAACTGAAGCTGAAAGAAGGGAAGATGTGAGCGAACTAGAGAAATCTGAAGAATTGAGGAAGGATGATCTAAGTCAGAAGTGAGGGGAGAGAAGGGAAAAGAGGAGATGGGGCGAAAATCGTAGGAGGGTGTGAGAGAGGTTTGGGTTAGGAAATACATGTTTAGATATGTAAGATTTCAAACCAGGGGATCAAAAACCCAGCAGCCTGCAGAAGCAAGGTAGGGAGGTAAATAAGGGAAGGGGGGGTATGCCCACCTTAAACGGGCCACATTACTCAGCTCCAGGCCCATTTTTGCCACGCAGGAATGCTAGCCCCAAAGTGCCAGATCTTTGATTAAAAAAAGAAAATGGGGGGAGGGGGCTGGAAATCTTTTTTTTTTTTAAGTGAAACTTTACTATACAAATAATTTAAAAATGTCCAAACACCACATGGACCAAATAAAACATTTGATTGAGCCTGGGGCTACCATTTTGCAACCGTGGCCTTACACAGCTAACCGCCCCAAGTATGTATAAGGTTATATTTATTGTTGTGGTTACAGTGTTGTTATATATAGTTGGGGGTGTGATATTTCAAGTCTTTATTTCTCGGAGCTAAGCTTTATTGTAAAAACCCCCCCAAAATTAACACAGTCACAGATAACACTTAACTCGATTCCCAGAAGGACCCAGGGTCCTCGAGATTCTCCGTCAGATCATTTCTTTCCTGGTGATTTGGGGCTAAACTCCTTGGCTGTGTTGAAGTTTGCAGATGAGTAATCAGGAAGGATTGCAGAATAACTTATTTCTTTTTAATTTGTTTTTTATTTTTAGAATTAATTTTTTTTTGGTGGGATCTTAGCCTGTGCCTTAGCGATGATTGCTGGTGGCTAGAAACAACAGAAAAATAGTGCTGGGTCTTTGGCCCAAGCGTCTAAGGCTTGTTACCATTCCCACTGCCAAAGTCAGACTTCTCACCTAGGTGTTTCTGCCCCTCTCTGACTTGGTGGCGCCCACCAAAATGGACCTCCTAGCACTCTGAGGGAGTTACCCATCATCCTTCCAAAGCGTTGCCTTTTAACCTCATGGAGTAAGTCATTTCTGTCAAATGGCCTGTGACCTTGATGAATACTTTTACTTCTGCCCTCCACCCCTGTGGGGGAAGATAGCTGTCTCCCTCCCAGTGGTGGGAAAAATTAACCTCAATGTTTCCAGTGTTCTTTGAGGGAGAAACAAGTTCAGTGTTACCACCGTGGTATGTGTTAATTTTTAAAAATCGCATCTCTGCTACTGAGACACTACTGTTCATTTTGTATTTTGTACGTACATAGCACGTGGTTTGGTGGGGATAAAGCAAGTATGAGTTGGGAGGAGGTGAATCATATAGACAGTGAGAATAGACTAGAATGTCCAGCTAAATTATGTCTAATCTGGTTTTCGAAGTTATCACATATTCAGGAATATTTTTTTTAGCACGTTTTGCTTTTTTTTTTTAAAAAAAGATAGTATGCCTTGATGCAGTCACTTGACTTAAAACATTCCTATTTTATAGTAATTTTGTAATGCGTATTGTGACCCCAAACTGTGTATTATGATGCAGTCTGTTGGCTGCAGTCATAGCATAAGTTTTGTTCCGATAACGGAGGCCAAAGAGTTAATCAAATATGGTTCAGCTGCTACAGTTGTGGAAAAACCATTTTAATCACATCAGATTTCCATGGCCCAATTAGTAGAAGCCTGCCCTTTGTTTTCTATTTCAGGTTGGATTAAACTTGCACTTTTAATCATGTGGGTAATTTGGGAACCTTGTTCTTTTATACTTTGCTTTATTAATAAAGGAACTTGTAGAAACCTTTGGAGTGGATGTCAGATCTTGCTGGGGGGCAGCCTGCGCTTGCACTGGTTTGTGATTCCTTGCACAAGCCTCAAGTGTTCTTGGCATCTGGATGTATTGGGAGTCTTTTCCCAGGCAGCAAATCTGGGGGTTGTTTTTTGCACAGAACTGGCTGCCTACAGAGGTGGGAAAGGATGCCAGTCCATAGCCCTGTAGCGTGTAGCCTGGGGCCCTGCCTTCAAGTCACTAATTGTCACAGAAAGGTTAGTGGTTCGAACCCACCAGCCGCTCTGAGGGAGAAAGATTGGGCAGTCTGCTTCTGTAAAGAGTACCCATTGCTGTCTAGTGGATTCTGACTCATAGTGACCCTGTAGGGCAGAGTAGAACTGCCCCATAGGGTTTCCAAGGAGCGGTTGGTGGTTTTGAACTGCTGACCTTTTGGTTAGCAGCCAGGCTCTTAACCACCATGCCACTAGGGCTCCCCGTAAAGATTATAGCCTAGGAAACCCTATGGCGCAGTTCTACTCTGCCCTGTAGGGTTGCTTTGAGTCAGAATCAACTTGATGGCAATGGGAAATGTTTTTTGGGTTTTTTTTTTCCTTATCTAGAACCCCCTGCCCCCACCCCTTCTCTCTGCCTCCTGCCTCTCCCTCACACTCCCAAACACAAGATTCAAGTCTTGGCCTGTGGCTAATTTATAGTTTAAAAATTTTGCCCAGAAATCTCTTAGGCCCTCGGGCCCTCTCCAAATGGTAAACGCTTGCTAATATGAAAAACCACCAGGCTCAGGGTGAGATGGAATTTTGGAGACCACGCAGGACTGCTGAGCGACTTCCGTGCCAGGTGGAAGCTGGGGAAACCTGCAGCCACAGGTTGATCACCAGGTAGGATACTTGCCCAAGGAAAAGTCTTGGTGGGGTGTGCCTTGCTTTGTTTTCAACAAGCAGTTATTGAGCTGCTGTGCCGGGAACTGTCCCAGGGCATTGAGGACACACACAGTGAGGAGAGAGATGGAGGTGGTTTCTGCCTCATGAGCTCACAGACCATTGTGAGAGGCAGGTAATTCAAGAAGTCATTTCCATGCAGTGTGGTGGGTGCCTGGGAGGAGGGTATGAAAGCAAGGAAGACAGGCACCTTGCATACACAGTTTAGGGACTCCATGGAGGGCTGCTCAGAAGAAGTGACATCTAGGTTGAGATCCAAAGATGACTAAGACTTAGCCGAGTGAAGGGAGCTGGGCTGAAGAAGAATATATCAGGCAGAATTGAAAGAGGAACATCCAGTTTGGTGGAAAGGAGGGTCGGCATATGGGCGGAGAGGCCTCAACAGCAAAGGATGAGGCGGGAGAGGTAGCGAGGCACCAGGTCACAAAGGGTCCTGAAGCCAGAGCTGCTCAAACTGGAGTCTTGTTCAAATGCACATTCTGATTCAGCAGGTCTGGAGTGGGAAAAGGTCCCTGGGTGGTGCAAACAGTTTCTGCTCAACTGCTAACCTAAAGGTTGGCAGTTCGAACTCACCCAATAGCGCCAAGGAGGAAAGGCCTGGCAATCTGCTTCCATGAAGATTACAGCCAAGAAAATTCTATGGAGTGGTTCAACTGTGTAACACGTGGGGTTGCCATGAATTGGAATTGACTCAATGGCAATGGGTTTGGTTTTGGTTTTGGAGTGGGGCCTGAGATTCTGGTTTCTAACAAGCTCCCAGGAGACAGTGAGGCCGATAGTTCTGGTCCAGTGCCCACACTTTGATTGCAAAGTAATTGCAAGGCGGTAACCACCCTGAGCATTTGGACTGATCCTGAAGGCACTGGGGAGCCACTGATTGCTTTAGGCAAGGAATGATAGGGTCACGTTTGCGTTTGGCTCACTCTGGCTGCAATGTGGAGAGTGGATTAAGCAGCGGGTGGCCAACTACTGTCTGGGTATTTATTTTCTTAAATAAAGTTTTACTGGAACACAGCCATGCCCATTTGTATAATTGTCTATGGCTGCTTTCACTTTACAATGGCAAAGTTGAGTAATTGCAAACCCAAAAATATTTACACTTTGGCCCTTTGCAGATAAAGTAATTGGATGTTGCAGTGGTCCAGGCCTAGGCAGGGGGACTGAGGTGGGGACAGAGAGACAAATTCTTGTAGAGACAAAACAGTGGTGTGGTTAGGGCCAGCACTTTAGTGCCAAGAGAGCTGTCTTCAAATCCTACCTCTTGCAGTTCCCATCTGTGTGTCTCTCTGCAAACTACCTAATCCTCTGAACCTCAACTTCCTCATCTGTAAAATGGGATTAAAACTAGAACCTTCCTCTTAGGAGAGATTGAGGATTAAGTGGGCTTTCGCATGCAAAGTGCTTGGCATATAATAAGCACCCAGTACATGTCAGTATGGAGTTCCTGGGTGGTGGAGACGGTCAATGCACCTGGCTGCTAACCAAAAGGTTCAAGTCCACCCAGTAGATCACCAGGCCTTTCTTCCAAGACATCTCTGGGTAGACTTAAACCTCCAAACTTTTGGTTAGCAGCCAAGTGCATTAACCATTTGCACTATCCAGGGACCTTGACTTAAATCCCATTTTTCTCATGCAGTCAGAAGCCTGGAGGTAAGCAGCCAGCGGTTCAGGGATGAATCGGGGATCCAGGTATCTTTTTGCCCTGCCATTCTGGGTAGTTTAGCTTTTATCTTTATCTTTGTCATGTCAAGGTCCCACAATGGCTAATAATACTTCCAGGCATCATGAGTTCGTTTAAGTCAGGAAGAAGAGAGAATGGGTTAGAGAACCCAGTATACTTCCTCTTATATCTCATTGGCCAAAGTGGTGTCACATGACCACTCTTAGCTTCAAGGGAAGTTGGGAAAGAGAACCTGGCATATGGCACACTGCAGCCCTGGCCAAAACATGAAGGAAGCATGAATATTAGTGGGCAAATAAAAATCTGCTACAGAAATGCTAAAAACAAATAGCAGAAGATTGTGTTAAAGAAGGGAGAAGTAATTTAACAAAAAAATCAGTTGCCACTGAGTTGATTCTGAATCATG